GGAAGATGAGGGGAGGGGGCTGGGTGTTGGTTAGAAGGCAAGGATTGAGAAAGAGATGGAGCTGAAAGAGTATTATGACCCTTTTCTAATTTGGAAATTTTCTCAGTCAATCTGGAGACAGTATTCTGTAAAGAGGCAGTTTTAGATTCCTCTCACCATTTGGATGCTTGTTAATGCCAATTAAAACAGCTTTCCAGGGGCTGGCTCAATGGCGCAGCTGTTAAGTGTGCAATCCTGCTTCGGTGGTCCGGGGTTCGCCAGTTCGGATCCCAGGTGCAGACATAACACCGCTTAGCAAACCATGTGTGGTAGGCGTCCCACATATAAAGTAGAGGATAATGGGCACGGATGTTAGTTCAGGGCCAGTCTTCCTCAGCAAAAAGAGGAGGATTGGCAGCAGATGTTAGCTCAGGGCTAATCTTCCTCAAAACAAAACAAGAAAGAGCATTCCATTCTACCTGTTTGGTTTAAAATCTGTGGTTTTCAAGTTTGAGGGTCAAAAAGATAAATTTGGAAGCTCAAAGGAGCCCCAAAGTGGCCACTGTAATTTTAAATCATCTTTAGTAATTTCTGTCCATTGAGAGAAAAATTTACAGAAGAAGGGGCCATAATTTTTAAACATAAACCCAGCTGGAGTTTCCAAGGGAGGAATTTTTGGGAAATTTTCAAAAATTGAGAGTCCCATGTTAAAGAAAAGCATGCAGCAAGGATGACAACAGGGGAACCCCTAAGGAAGGGTTCCCCTTTAATTTAGAGTACTCACCAAATAGGGAAAGCCTTCCAGATCGCAATAGCCATGAGCCACCTTGAGCCAGCCCAAATAGAGAAACCCTTCAGAACGGCAAAAACTGTGAGCCAGCTTTGGGACAGTCATCTCCTGCTGGGCAGTTGAAGCCAAATCCCAAAGAAAAGCAATGACCTCAACCAAAATGAGGGAAGTGGAGCCTGACAGGACTCATAGTCAGAGGAGACGGCAATCTGTGGAAGCCATGAGTAGAGCCTGCGTAGGTACTGCACGCAGTTCCAGAGGACTCCAGTCAAAGATGAGATCACTTCAGACCCCACTCCCGACACTATATGACACCACATGTCAACCTTGAACAAAGAAAAAGAAACCAGTTTAAGAGGCAGAGAGTTTATTTTGGCTCAAAGAATTGCAATTTGTGGAGCACAGATTCAGGTAGAAACCCAAATAGTGTCCACATACAGGTTGAAAGAATAGGGCTTTTATGAGGAAAAGCAAGGGGATAATTACATGAAAAGAAGGAGGAAAAGAAAAACAATTTCTATGTGTGTTAATAAGCTAAGTTGTCCTTGGCTATACATAATTGATTACTGACCCTATCTTTAAACAGAAAGTCCAAAATTTTCAGTCTTATAATCAGGATGTTCATTTCTCTGGTAACTTCTCAAACAATTAGTTGTAAAGAAATGGTCCAGTCCAAAAGTTTGGCCCAGTCCAAGTTTCAAGACAGCAAGGCAGTTTCTCTGGAAAGGCAGCTCCAGCTCCATTTTGAAGAGTCACTTTTAACAGAGGCCACTCATAGAACTCTAACCCTTGTTTAGAAATGTAGTCACTTAATGCGACCCCTGTAATAAAGAGTCTGGCTCCATTTTGATCTTTGATCCTCGCCAGTGTTGAGCCCTCAGCCCATTACAACATGATTTGATATATGTATACTGCATTGTAAAGTTACAATTTGCTAAGAGAGTGGATCTTAAGAATTCTCACCACGCAGACACACACACAAACACAAAATATAACATTGTGAGGTGATGGATGTGTTAATTAACCTGGAAACTCTTATATGCCTAAGAACCTGGATTGCAAAACTCTTAAGGGGTTTACTTATTTATTTGAATAACTTGATTGACATATAATGCACTTACTGTACAGTGCACCCCATTAAAATGTATGTTTTAATTATTTTCGGTATATTTGTAGATATATGCAATCATCACCACATTTTTTAACATTTTCACCACCTCAAAAAGAAACTCCTTTGCTCTTTAGCTATCATTCCCAATCTTTTCATCTTCCTCCTCCAATCCCAGCCCTAGACAACTACTAATCTACTTTCTGTCTCTATGGATTTCCCTTTTCAGGTCTTTCATATGAATGGAATAATTAAATATATGGTCTTTGTGATTGACTTCAGTCACTTAGCATAATTTTTTTCAGGGCAATTCATGTTGCAGCATGTATCAATACTTTACTTGTTATTATGGCTGAATAATATTCCATTGGATGAGTAAAACATGTTGTGTTTACCTATTCAGCCTGTGATGGCATTTGGATTGTTTCCACCTTCTGGCTATTAGAAATAACATTACTATAAAATTCATATAAGAGTTTTTCTTCAAACACTTGTTTTCATTTTTCTTGGGCATATATCTAGTAGAAGAATTGATGGATCGTATGGTAATTCTAGGTTTAATTTTTGAGGAACTGCCAGACTGTTTTCCAGAGTGGCTGCACCATTTTATATTCATACCACGCATGTAGGAGGGTTGAAATTTGTCCATGTGTTCTTAACAAGATTTGTTATTATCTCACGTGTTGATTCTAGCCATCCTAGTGGTTGTGAAGTGATATCTCATTGGGGTTTTGATTTGCATTTCTGTGGTGACCAATGATGTCCAGCATTTTTTTATATGCCCTTGGACAATTGTATATCTTCCTTGGAAAATGTGTATGCACATCCTTTGCCATATTTAAATTGAGCTATTTAACTTTTTATCATTCAGCTGTAAAAAGTCTTTATATATTTTAATACAAGTAGCTTATCATATATATTCTCTGTTCTGAAGTCTGCTTTATGTCAAATTAAGAGCTATTTTAAATTCAGTCTGGTCTTTCAAAAATCTCTGTCGTACCTGAGACTTGTATTGATGATTGCTTTTTCTCTTCAAAATGTGCTTTTTCCTTCCTTTTAGTATGCCCTCTAATTTTTGTTTGAAACATAGACAGGATGTATGAAGTAATAGGATTTTAGGTAAATAGGCCTTTAGTGTGAGGTGTTATGATTTCTTAAATAGGAGTCAGACCATGTTTAATAATTGCTGCCCTGGAGGTGTCAGGGGCTTCTGTGTGCAGTGTCCTTGTACTTATCTCCCTGGTGTGTTTGGGTTTCATTAGAAGCTCAGTCTTAAGTAGACTCTGTGTCTTGCAGCTCTGTTTTCATCCACTGTTTGTGTCCTGGGGCCCTGCTGATATGGTGTCAGGGATTTGAAAGGGAACATGTCCTCTTCTGTTACAATGAAGCCTGCAATATTTTCTTGCTAAACAATCCCAGGACTGTGAACTTCAGAGCAAGTTCTTAGCACTTATATTTCTTCCACTTTTGTCAGAGAGGAACCTGAAGTGACTGCAGGTGTCTATTTGCACTTTGCCCAATCAGAGAAGACTTTGCACATTAGTTTCCTTTGAGAGATGGTCTGCCTTACAGACAGCAAAATGCCTTGTGTATATATCAAAATGTTTTCCCCCATTTCCTGCATGAAGCAAGAACTAATTTATTCTGATCTTCACTATGAGAACCTGGTTGGGCTCCTGAAGGAAAAAGTCGTAAATTATGAATATCTCTTTGTGCCAATGGGTAGGCACAAATACTGCCCCCACTAGAGCTGTTACCTCTCAAGCTAGTCCAGACTGTCTCTCCAGCAATTCTTCTGTTACAGTCTACATATTCCTAGATGTCGCTGGCTCCAGGAAGCAGTTATTCTCTGTGTTCGCCTGTCTCTCATTTTTGGGGCATTGGTTTACCCTGAACCTCAAATATGTCATGTTATCTAATATGAGGTGTTGATTTTCAGGTTGTTCAGCTTTTTTCTTTTTGTGAAGATGAGAGTAACTCCAAGCTCTTTACATATGAGAACAGAAACCATCCACTCACTTCCATTGCTCTGTGTTCTCCCTTGTGAGACTATCTCATTTTCACTTATTGATTCCACCGCTAGTGACATGTGAGCGGTTTCAAAGTTTTTCTTTGTGACTAATGTGTCTAAAGACATTGTCATACTGGGATCTCTGCATTTGGAAGTCTTATCCTAATCTTCTAAAAATTCTCTGCCCTGAACTCCTGTTGTCACCTAAAAGACATTTTCCATTGGTTACCTTCTGTTTTGTCATTGGTCTTTGGAGAGCAGGATCAACCCCCTACCCAGAATGGGTTCAGATGTCAGATGTTGCCACATGCATCGAGTGAATAGGAAAATGTTTATTACTCACAGAACTTTCTAGGGGAGTAGGGCAAGGGTAAGCCGGTTGAGGTGGCTTGTGTAAAGGACAATAGGTTGGCCCTTTAAGGTGTGTAGGGGTAGAGGCTGCAGGTTTTCAGGGTTTGACCCTCCTACCCACTGACACAAGAAAAGGGGCAACTGTCAACATCCTAACTTTGTTACCCACTGTGGGCTGGGCAGGGCGCGCGGGTATCTAAAGCCCATTAACAGTCAAACATCAAAATGGAGTCAGTGTCTTTACTAAATTCACTTGATGTTTGTTGACTGAATGATGTCCCATCTCATTTAAATGAACTTGAATTTGAATATTTGCTTCTTTGAATATGAATTTTAAAAGCTATGTGAAAATCATAACCAACATATAATTAAGATAGAGAAACCTCAAAGAAACATTTGAATCCAGTCATCCTAAGGTGTTGGAGAGATTGAGGAAAATATATCAGTAGGTTTCCAGAGCCCTGTTCAATTATTTTAGTAATATTGTTGTTTACTTATTTTGTTGTTGTTAAATTTGTTTATTTAATTTTGCTGTTGATTTTTTTTTTAAGATTTTATTTTTTCTTTTTCTCTCCAAAGCCCCCCAGTACAGAGTTGTGTATTTTAGTTGTGGGTCCTTCTGGTTGTGGCATGTGGGACCCCACCTCAGCATAGCTTGATGAGCAGTGCCACGTCTGTGCCCAGGATCCGAACTGGCGAAGCCCTGGGCTGCCGAAGCAGAGCGCACAAACTTAACCACTCGGCCACGGGGCCGGCCCCTGCTGTTGATTTTTAATTGTTTGTCTCACTGCGGGGTTATTGGTGGCACCTTGCCAAGGTCATCTACCCACATGCCACAAGCAGCTCTCCTGTGTACTTTCCCTAGCTGGCCAATAGACAGTCCAAAGCCAGTTGGTCATCAGGACCACAGCTGCCAGGAAGTTTTCCTTCCTAGAAACATTATGAAATACCAGCTGTCAAGTACATGGGTTTTGAGTGTTTTAAACATTTCTTGATTGGCATTAATGATGTGAGTTTGTTGAATTACATCATATGTGCCCAGGTCAGTGCATGTGACCAACCACAATGAGAATGTGAGTACAACTGATAGGAAAATAGCACATGTGTGTTGAGATGGGCCAGAAGGGATTTTGAAGGTGGATGCCCCAAAATGAAATATTGACATCCGGGGTACAGAGCACAGGTGATGTTAGGAGGAAGACCCAGGAGTTGGATATAATAGTGGTGGGCAGTGGGCACGATTACAATAAACGAATGACCTGTGAGAGTGACTATTTTGACAGGAATGTCTGGTATAGAAAGGCCTCTACTTATAAGGTGCCAGCAAACCTCATGATCAGAACAAAGAAATGGGCCCTAAATGCTGGGGATTGAATCAAACTATGTCTTGAACAGCAGGAAGACCCATTGAGAAGGTGGCAAGTTTTGTCTAAGTAGGCCATTCTGGCTTCTATGAGGGCTGTAGCCTGGGGCTCTGAAAGCAGTAAAAGTTCCACTGAATGCCTTTTTGAAGAGCCCAGTGTTGTATATTTGGAGAAATGAGTTGATCACATCATAATATCGTGGGAAGTCCTGCATTTTGGCTTCAGCAGAGACATGACTGATAGGATAAGTAAGTAATTTGTTTATATGAGTATCTAACATGGTCCAATCATAGCAGGAAACCCAGCAGAGAGGGTGAGGGGCCCTATAAATTCTATTTGCCATCAGCTGTAGGGACCCCTTCCCCATCCTGGAAATAAATTGCATTGCCTGTATTACCAGAGGCATGTGTTTTCATATCAGGTGCATTGGTCAGTCACTAAATTAGCCATGACAGAGGAGGAAGGAATTCTTTTGCATTCTGCCTTGACATTTGGGACAGAGGCCCCTCAGTGAGTTCATATTACACGGGCCCACAGGGCCACAGTTAATACCATAAGATTTGAGGTGTCAGTATGAGTCTCAGAAATTTGACTCAATTTATCACTCTCAACATTGAAATGAGCCTTTGCAGATTGAGGTTTAATATGCAAAAAATTAAGAGTAACAATGATTTATACTTGGGTAATCGTGAGGCAAGATATTCCTAAAAGTGTTTATCCCAAAGGGGGCCACCTTGGATAAGGAGTTCTTGTAGCTATTGGTGGGACCAGATTGTAAGATCATTGGCAATGGCCACAGGATCTATATAGATGTGACTGTTGGCCAGGGCATCCTGTAGCTCTGGCATGATGGCAGAATCTGACTCACTGAGCTGATGCGTGGGTGCTGTCTTCTTTCACGGGTGGCCTGTTGGATCTGGAGACAGAAGACAGCATCTCTCCAGTGGACTCCATTGGTGGCACACGGTCCATAAAGTATATGAACTCTCCTGGTCACTCATGTGATCCCAAGGAACTCCCCAAGTGTCCAGTGTGTCTAGAAAAGGGGTGATTCCTCCAAGACGATCGCATCACTCAGAGGACAGGGGAACACACTTCCTCCTGCAGGTGGGGGACACTGGAGGTCCCATTTTTGCCTCTATCCTGTGGGTACCAATATCTTTGCAATGAGGAGGCCTGTGTGGTGAAGCAAGACCGATGGGTGCTCCTTTCACAACCCAAGGGAAAGCGGAAAGCTGTCTGCACTGGGTCATCAGCTCGGGGTCCGTGAGAGCTTCCATTTCCAGAAAGCCTGCGTCTGTCGCCAGCAGTGGCTGCTCTAAATGTGTTTAGCACCAGACTGAGAAAACTTTCATGCACCAGAATGTCCCGGGCAATTTATGGCCATCAGGGGTGTCTGAGAGCCTCTGGGAGGCAAGAGAGGAGGCTGCTGAAGCCTCTGTGCTGTCGGAGTCTGGGGAGGGAGACACCATGGAGTGCCTGTGATTTGGTCAGATGCTAGAGCCATTGTTTCCCCAAAATTGGTCAATTTCTAGGTCTTTTGTAAGTAAGCAAGTAGAGAAAATAATTAAGGGATTGTTGGAGCTCAGGGGCACGTGCTCGTGACATGATTTATGCCACTGCTTCTTCCACCCTCTCACCTCACAGCCCCCTGCTGTGCTGCAGAGAAATTTTCAGAAGGGACAGTCGTGGATTTCCAAAGAAGTTGCCGGGAGGCAGGCACAGGGTTGCCTTGAGCTGGGAAACATACGGCTGGAAATGGACTCAGGACTGCAATGGAAAGACATGATGCTGATGCCTATGGATTAGATCCCACTTGGGGAGAAGTGTGGGAGATGCCTGCATGTTTCAGAACCACAGTATTTCCAAAGATCTGTCCACGAACCTGATTTAAACTCAAAGACAGATTCCGGGAGCCCTCACTTCACTCCTAGTTATGAGTCTGAGCTGAGGGCAGGTGCAGCCGTAGGGGGAGTTTGCTCAATTAAGATGAGGTTGCAACAAAGGCCTGTTGGGGACTGAATCCTCCTTCCCAGTCCTTCATTCTTCCCAAGAGGGATCCCAAGGTGGAGGAAAGAGGTGTTGCACATGTAAAATTCAAGGTTCAGGAGAAGTTAACATTTTCCCAGCACGGGGAAGCATTTTTGTTTTCTATTAATTGTTTTGAATATATATATATATATATTCTATGTTAAATGTAGTTGTGAATTTTCACAAATGTATAGTAACACCACCACTAAAAGATGGAGAACACTCCATCACCCCAAAGGAACACTCTTGGGGTACCCTTTCTACTAAACCTCTCCAATACACAACTCAGCACTAAAAAATGGAAAAGACTGCATTTCTTTTGCTCTTTAATATACTCACAGCTGTTACTTTCCTTGCTCCTCTTCCACAACATGTGCTGGAAGTCCAGGCATATGGAAATGAGATCTGTGAACAGGAAATGGGCTCCTGGGCTTTGCAGGTTGTTGAACAAAAAGCTTCCAGCTCCTCCTGCTATAAAAAGACATTAAAATTTCCCATATCTCCTTTCATACTAAAATAGGAAATTACTCCAAATGATACAATCTGTCAACTCAATTATTCCTTGCATGACTACCTTCTAAACATCCACAGTTCTCTTTGGGGTTTCCACTGAGAGATCACATTGAACATGCAGAGTTATCACTGTACTTACAGAATAAACTCAAGGTGGTTACCACAGTGCAGATGAACAGACCTCTTGCTTTAATTGGGAGGATCTCCATGGTTTAATGGTGGTATATATTGTCTCAGTTTGAATAGCAGCAAAAAGAAAATGCCAAATACTGTACTCTGATTTTTAGTGAGGGTGACTAAGGCAAGACATTCCTGGAATTCTTTTACCACAAAGGGGCAACCCTTTGAGAATCACCCAAGAGTGGTGAACATGTGCAGATGGGGACGAGTGTTGGTCGGTGCTAAGATGACTGCTTGATGTATGGTCAGTGTGATGACCCTTGGGTCCAGTCCTTCATCAGAGATGTCCCAGGGGCCGGCCCGGTGGCGCAGCGGTTAAGTTCGCACATTCCGCTTCTCTGTGGCCCGGGGTTTGCCACTTCAGATCCTGGGTGTGGACATGGCACCGTTTGGCAAATGCCATGCTGTGGTAGGTGTCCCATGTATAAAGTAGAGGAAGATGGGCATGGATTTTAGCTCAGGGCCAGTCTTCCTCAGCAAAAAGAGGAGGACTGGCGGTAGTTAGCTCAGGGCTAATCTTCCTCAAAAACAAACAAACAAACAAACAAAACAGAGATGTTCCAATTAAGACATGAAAGGCAGCAACTCTGCCTGAGCTCCATCATTTATGAGTGTGGTGATGTCATCCCCAAAGTCTATGGACTCCCATTGCTTTTCACTCAGGGAGCCCTAAGGAGCTCCCCAGGGAGCCTGGGGGTCTGGGAAAGGGATGACCTCCTCCAACACCATGGCACCTGGCAGGAGACTGAGGACAGGGAAGACCACCCCCTCCTGCAGGTAGGATATCCCAGAGGGCCCACGTTTGGCTCCATCATGTCTCAAGGGGGTCTCTGTAGCCATGCTGAGCTCTTGGAGTGCTGCTTCCAGGTCCCAAGGCAAAATGGACTGCTGGATAGATGGTCCCATGCTCAGGGCCATCTACTTTCAGGATGGCCTCATAAGTAGAGGTCATTGCAGCTCTAATGGCATGCAGCATGGGGCTTAGGGCAGATTCTTGCATCAGAAGCCCATGGACAACTTAAGGCCATCATGGGTACCCCAGGAGGCATGCCAGATGGTCACTGAGGCCTCTATAGTGAAGGAGTCTCTGAGGGCAATAACTGGAGTGTTGGTTGTATGACAATTTGAAGAATCTCCAGCATTTTGTGCTGGGGGCACCCTTTCAAGTTGGCAGATTTGCACGTAACAGCACAAAAGGGCTCAATTAAAATTTGTATACAAGAAATATGTTACCTCTGGAACAACAAAAGAACCTAGCAGGTGTTGTGGCTATGAGGGGAACAATAGCTATTTCTTCATAGTGTCAGGAGGGAGCAGGTCTCAGATTATCAAATAATCTCCAGAAATTTAACAGTTGTCAGAACCTCACATCATATGAGCAGCAATGTCCCATCCAGTTTTTGTGAGCTCCTTTCAATATTTGTAAGTCCTGAATGTCCTCAGAGGACATGTCATTAATGTAACATTGTACCTGTGTTCTTGGACACACCAGGATGCAGTTCAGACCCCGCCTGCAATGACTGTGGGAGGGCACAGCTGTGGAAGATCCACGAGGATAACCCAGTAAAGGGGCACCATGTCCCTTCAGAGGGGAAGGCCAAGTGCAGCTGAGAGGCTGAAAGGCTGAGAGACCTAGCCAAATCTGTGACAGCAGAATGTTTACCAGTTGCTGACTGGATGGAGTTAGTGATTTCTATTATGTTGGGGACAGGGTATAGATGTCTGTTTGTTGTAACCACAGCCTGAAGTTTGCAGTAAACCAATGTGAAGTGTCATTCATCCTTTCCAGGTTAAGAAGAAACCAAATTCAACCATTCAAAGGAGAAGCACTGGGAATAATGAACCCTTTACTAAACAGGTTTTGCATATGGTAATTTTTCAAGGCTTTGTGTATTTACATTGGGCCATATTAGCTACTTTATTTGTGGGGTAAGGTCATGGGGTTCCATTTTATCAAGCCAATTTGTAAGTGGCAAAGACTTGATTTAATTTTAATTCTTTTTGTGCGTGTAAGGAAGATTGGCAGGCTCTGAGCTAACATCCGTGGCCAATCGTCTTCTATTTTATGTGGGATGCCACCACAGCATGGCTGGATGAGCAGTGCTAGGTCTGTGCCTGGGATCCAAACCAGCAAATTCTGGGCCGCTGAAGTGGAGTCTGTGAACCTAACCACTCCCACCGAGCTGGCCCATTAATTTTAATTCTTGATCATTGGTTCGAACTTTCTAGCTCATCATTGGATACTTTAGGACCACGGATGCTATGACTATGGAGAATTTAGGTTAAGACCATAGTTCTGAAGGTTAAGGAGAAACATTTGTCCTATTTGTCTCCTATATTATATTCATTAATGCCCTGAAGATCATCAGGGACACCTTGCTTAAATTTAGTGGGACCCCAGGTATAACTGTAATTTCAGACCTAGTGTTGATTAACTGCTTGAAGATTTCTGAATTCGTGCATTACATCAGAGAGCAAAATTAATTCAGACCCTGTGTTGTAGAGGCCCAGAAGCCAAGCAGTGTACCTCTATCTGTTCTGCTACATAAATTTTTAGTATATTTGGATTTCTAATTGGGTCAAACTGTGGACCTTTCTTTCAGTATTTTTTTCTTTTGTTCCCTCTATCTTGTCCTTCCCTGTTTTGTTTTTTTGGTCAGTGGATATACTTCAGGGGAAAGGGTGTCCTTTCTACCCTGGTATTTATATGTTTTTCTTCCCAAGAGCCTCAAAACAGTGCCACCAGGGTTAGGAGCCTCCCCGATGACAACTGGGTGCTTTAGTGAGTTTAAGGTCCCTGGACTCAAGTCAGGTTTGAACTAATCCCTTTCCTGTGCCACAGGGGTGCCATGGGTGTTGTCCCCTAGAACCCCAGGGTCAGGATCTTTGTGGCAGTAGAGGGAGAGGCAGCAGCCGAGGTACTTAAGGGTCCTGGGAAGTCCTCTGGTATTAGGGCGTGGACTCCACCGGCCATCTACTGGCTGCCCTTTCCCTCTCGTCTCTTTGTCTTTTTAAATGACAGCTGTTTCAGGAGTGACCAGTGATGGACTCACCTCTTACACAGGGTATAGTCCTCTTGTGTCATCCCAATCCCTGGGGTATGTCAGGGCCAATCCAGCCTCTGTCACAGCTTCACTCTAACACACAGATAAATCCTGACAAAGACATTGACCCAGGACTCATGTAAGGAGGCCCCAATCCTGTAGCCCTGCTCTGAAATGCCTATAAAGTCTCAAGATTGCCAGCTCTGCTCAGCTGAACCTAGAACTGAGGTTGGTGGGTCAACAATGCAACACGGGGCAGCACAGCTCCCAGCACGAGCTCCCCAGCAAACAGGAGCCCACAGCACATGCCGCCACCAGGCAGCAGAGCAGGGGAGCAAGTCAGAGCAAGAGAAGACAGACCCACGGGTGGGGTCATGTCTGGACATGCTGCTCAGGGCGCCAACTGTTATGGTCCCTGCAGAGGGGTGGTTCCCTTGTTGAGACTGATGCCAGGGTGGCACGCGCGCGCGCACACACACACACAGAGGGGAGGAAAAGGCTTAGGACTCACATCATAGAGGTCTGAGTGGAGGGCAGGGCCGGCCTCTCAAGCAGCTCTGACTGGGCTCAGAAAGCAAGGAATGGAGCCTGGCCTGGGGCTTCACTGGGCCTGGGGGTGGGGCCGGGGCAAGAGCTCTGCACACAGGCAGGGGCTGGGGTGGCGGGAATCTCCTGCCTGCTCTAGAGGAGAGAGCACCCAGGCTTCTCCTCAGCTTGTCCAGGTGGGGGCACAAGGGGAAGAGGGTGAGTGAGGCTTAAGCTGTGAGCAGTCACCCAAAAATGTGGAGTTTGACTGCTCCTTACAAGGACAGATGTGGGTAGGAAAATATGCACTTGCGATTACTTGTTTTTATATAAAGAAACACTAACAGCAGGCTCAGAACATAATCAAAACTGCATTTGGCGGTGGCTGGAGTAACAGTGCTGGAGGGGACCAGGATATGTTGGCCGTGAGTCTTCTTAGGTTAGACTTGACTACCTTACAGATTTATTTTAAAAAATAGAAATTTACATAAACTATATTTTACTATTTAATAGTCTTTTACTTAATTTTAAATTTTGTACATAGGAAACCATTCTAAGATTTAATTCCCTTAAATACTGTTACAAAAGTGCAAACCACAAAGTGAAAATTTTGAAATCTCTTTCTAACTACAAGGACATGGGGCATCCTAGTTTGTCCTTCCCCTCTATCTCACACTGGGGTGTTCTCAGGAATAAGCAGCATGTTATAATGCAAGAGGGACTTGACTTTAGCCCCTTAAATGTATTGGATTTTCAAAGATTTACATAAGCTTTCAGTATTCTCCCTCACATTAATTAAAACAGGAATTCAACTGCTTTAGCCTCTTAAATTTCTATGTTCTCAAGGGACAAGCACACACAAAAATTGGTCTAAAAATGAAAAATGTGCTCAAAAACTTAATACATTTATCTCATATCTTGAGTTTCTCTTGCCTAAAAGGAACAAAAATTCTATTTGATTTCACAGTTTTCTTGCTTTGCTCACCTCCTATCTCTCCATCAACTTACAGTCTCAGGGCCCAAGTGCTAAGGGAAACTAGAGCAAAAGGGCCGCACTAGTCCATCGATAAAGGAATCCAAAGGAAAGAAACACAAATACTGGAATCAGCTCAGATGAGCAGCCTGCTTCCCACAGGACAGAAAGAAAGCCACGGTCAGAAGGTCCCGTGTTCCTGACTCTCCTGGTGGAGACAGAGCCCTGGAGGGGGTCAGTCTCTGGAGAAGGAGGGGAGGGCACCTGAGCAGCCACAGGAAGGAGCTCTGGGAGCCCCACACACCCTCCCCTCCCCAGGGAACAGTGCACATGCTCCCTCTCTCAGGCTCCATTCTCACAGTGAGGAAACTCAGCTGGATCCAGTTTAAGGTTCTGACCCAAATGGACCCCAGATGAATGGGCCCTAACCCAGGACACAGAGCTCCTGACTCTCACAGACTTTCTCAGTGTAAACGAGCTACTCTCTGAGTGCACCTACACTGTGGATGCAAAACTCCAATTATGTCTAGAAACAGGCCCAAGGGAACCACAGGGATAACCTCAGAAAGGGTGTCACTCCCCACCCCAGGAGCACGTGCACCCCCAGCTTTCTCTGCAGCTGCAGGAAGCCTCTGCAGCTCCTCTCAGGATGAAGGCTCCTTCCATGGGGGTGTGAGCAGTAGGACACCTGCAGGGGAGGCTCCCCAGGAAGGACAACTGGGCCTTCAAGGCCTTCCCTCTGCAGGCCCAGGGGGGCCTTAGCTTGGGTCACTGCTCTCAGGTTCTCCTCCCAATCGAGTTTTTTTGGACCACCACTCATATTTTAAATACACAAACCCAGTGTTTGAACAATCCAGCTAAAATAGTCAAACCAGTCTTTATATGAAAATGAGGGAAGAAAACTGTATGGCAATTTGCAGGCTCAACAAGAAACCCCACCAGAATGTATTGCATTCTGGAAAAAAAGATGTTAATTAATTATTATTTCTGTGACGAGCAATTTTTTTTCTAAACTATTAATCCTACTTGAACACTTCAGGTCTACATGTCTAAGTGTCCTGATTAGTTACCCCGAGGAACTCAAGAGTGGGTTTGGGTATTTTAACTGTTGTTCCAAATTGTTCTTTTTCCTTTTGTTAAGTTAAGGAGATGCCATCACCAACCACCCTGGACCAGACCAAGCCTCACCATGAGAGCTACACCTATGACCTTTGCCTTATTTTTAATAAGATCTCTCCAGGAGGACCTTAGGCCTTATTACCATCGCCTGCAGTGTACAGGGAAGCACTTTTCCAGCTGAGCCTGCGCAATGGAATACCCACCTCTCCCTTTTGAATATTCATTCCCCATCCCAAATAAATGTCCCTGCTTCCCTTTGCTCAGGGAAGCCATGACTTTGGAAGTGATTCCACATGGTCTCCTATTTGCCCCAAACTTACCTTACTTTGTGAAACAACTACCTCTGGTGGAGAGCCGGAATTAACTTGCCCGGAGGTGAACCCACTCGTTCGGTAACATAAGCTCTGGAAATCCAATTGAACTCACCCAAAATAAAAGAACAGACCTCAGAATGTTACTATGACGCTCAGGGGAGAAAAAAAAGTTTTTAAATCATGCAATGAAAAACTGAAATATTTTATTTTTTCCAAAATTTACCTTTTTCTCCCTCTTTGGAGCTATTTTATATTGTTTTTCAAGCTGTATTGATTAAGTAAATTTTTATTCATTGGAAAACTGAGACGAAATTTAAGTGACCATATATTTTCATTTGACAAACCCCAGGGAGGGGCAGTGCTGACAGGACAGATCGCCCGGAAGTTTCTCAAGAGGAACCTGCAGCAAAGGACTGCCAGCTGCGCGTTGGCGCCCAGGACGCAGCCTGGAGGAGAGGCGGGAGGAGCTCGCACCACGCGCCTCCAGGGGGATGCGCTACTTTCTCTCAAGAAAAACATCCACGAACGAGGAATAAACCCTCTTAAAAGAGCCGCCCACTGACTACGGAAAAGTGATAAACAACTAAAATATCGGGTCTGTTTGTGGTTGATAATTATGCTGTGAATCGGAGACGGGAAGTTGGCGTTCGGGAACGTGAGGAGGGATCTGGAAATTTAGGGATTTATTGTCGGTCCTGGAAGAGCTGGGGGGACAGGGTCGTGGATTGGAGACCCTGCTCCCCAAACGTTTAGGAAACTCAGGAGAAAACGGGTCCCCTCCGAGGAGAAAGGAGGCCCTGGGGACCCACAGACCGCAGCCCCTCCGCGCACGGACCCCGGAGACCGAGACCCGACTGTCCTGCGGGCCCTCCCGCGGGCCCCGCACCGTCTGGGACACGCTGGGCTGCGGGCGCACAGCGGCCCAGAGACGCTCGGGCCCAAGTCGCCGCGCGCAGGCACCACAGGACGCCCGGGGCCCGGCTGCCGGCCCCGCCCCCACGCTGCGGCCGGAGGGACCTGAGGGCCGAGCTGCGCCACCGCGGACTCAGGGCCGCAGACCCCGGAGGGTACCGCGGGAGGCCGTGCCCGCCCCGCCGCTTCCCACCAGCCCCTCCTCCCGCGTCCTCACCCCGGGGCCGCACACTCACCATTCCTAGGGCTCCTGTGTCCCCTGAGTCTTTCCTACGACCCCCACGGCCAGTGCAGGTCACAGGGTGACAGGGGCTGCGGCAGAGCCCCAGGACCGTTAACGGCAGGAGCGGGAAGGGAAGGCCACGTTGGGCCAGACACGCCTTCCCCAAACCCTGACTCCGCCAGAACTCTGAGCATTTCTAGGTTTCCTGGGTTGTCGGCCACCCCTCTCCCCCTACGACTCCCGTGGTCGCTACCGGTCACAGCGGGACAGAGTGGGCAGCAGAGTAACCTGGGGAACTTAAGGGGAGGCGCCCCTGATCCCAAGGTGGCTTGAACGAGTGGCTGCCTCTGGGAGTTGCGGAGAACTGCCCCACCCACCTGCCCAGCGCTGCCGGATTGCCAGATCCCAGACCTTGCCCCTTCGTCCCTGAGTCACAGCTACCTGAAATTAGTGTCTGAGCCCAGTGCCAGCCAGAACTCCTCCTCTACAGGAACGTTAGCATTGAAAGGTAGTGCTGGGAGGGGACTCCCGGATCCGTCTTTATAAACACACACAACTGAAACTCACCTCACCATATGCATTAATTAGTCTCTCTCCATGTTGATCTTTGCTGACAACTTGGGTCTGACATAGTTTTACCTAATAGTTACACAGGCACAGACGCCAGGAGGGCATTAGGTGAGCATCTACTAGAACTTCAATCAGGTTCAGAAAAAGAGCATAGGAAGCAAAAACAAGCCATCACTTCAGAAGAAAAATGACTTCTGGGTATACAGAATGGTTAGCTTTAGAAAACATTTCTGACATGAAACTATTTGTATCCCATGGAGAATATAAGCAGGGACTCTTTCTCACCCATAGTTAAATCACTCTCTGTGGTCGTGATCCACTCCTTTCTTGTGGCTACACTATTTAATCCATCTATAATGAGACATCAGAAAACTGGGCTGCATCTAATAATCATATCACTTGTTGAGTCTATGATACTAGACGGTCACATTCATTGACAGGCATCCTCTCCGTATAGTCTGCACAGATACCATATGTGAACATTTCCTCTCCCAATTCCCTGAGGACATGCTCACCTTTGATATCATCGCAAAGAGCCCCACCCAAGTCCCCTGGAACTTCAGCAGTAATTCCACCATGCCCAGGGACAGAAGGATCCCTGGAGGCCATCGGACAGATGGAAACTGAGGGGCAGGGACAAAGAACCACAAGTGATCTCGATGAAGAGAGAAAGGAAGGCCCAGCTTGCAACTAGTGTTCATCTAGTATGTTCAACTAGTATGAGGGGCACACTGCTGGGCAGTGAAATCATCCCTCAGTCACCCATCCAATGCAGGAAGAAAAGTTCTGTGGGTATTCAGCATCAAGCACTGAGAGATGGAGAAGATATTTCCATTTCATTATCTGTTTTTCATCTTCCCTTTAAGAACTATTTGGGAAATAATAGTGTAGAAGCTGGTTTCCTGGAAATCACTCTGATTTTGAATTCTGTGTAGGTTACATCATGTTCACTACCCCAAAATTAATTATAATCCATCACCACACATGTGCCTAATCACCCCTTTTACCCTCCCCGCTCCCCACTTCTCCTATGGTAACCACCAATCCAATCTCTGTTCTATGTGTTTGTCGTTTTTATCTTCTACTTATGAGTGAGACCATATGGTATTTAACTTTCTCCCTCTGACTTATTTCACTTAGCATAAGCCCCTCAAGGTCCAACCATGTTGTCACAAATAGCCAGATTTCATCATTTCTTATGGCTGAGTAGTATTCCACTGTGTATATATGCCACAGCTTCTTTATCCATTTGTCCCTTGATGGGCACCTAGGTTGCTTCCAAGTCTTGGCTATTGTGAATGAAGCTACAATGAACATAGGGGTGCATGTATCTTTATGCATTTGTGTTTTCAAGTTCTTTGGATAAATACCCAGCAGTGGGATAGCTGGATCATATGGTAGATCTATTCTTAATTTTTTGAGGATTCTCCATACTCCTTTCCATAGTGGCTGCACCAGTTTGCACTCCCACCAGCAGTGAACAAGGGTTCCCTTCTCTCCACATCCTCTCCAACACTTGTTGTTTCCTGTCTTGTTAATTACAGCCATTCTGACTGGAGTGAGGTGATATCTCATTGTAGTTTTTTTCTTTCCTGCTTTTTCTCCCCAAGTCCCCCCAGTACATAGTTGTATATTTTAGTTGTGTCCTTTGAATTGTGGCATGTGGGACGCCACCTCAGCATTGTCTGACAAGTGGTGCCATGTCCTCGCCCAGGATTGGAACCAGCGAAACCCCAGGGCGCTGAAGCGGAGCATGGGAATTTAACCACTTGGCCGCGGGACCAGCCCCTCACTGTAGTTTTGATTTGCATTTCCCTGATAGCTAATGATGTTGAGCATCTTTTCATATGCCTGTTGGCCATCCGTATATCTTCTTTGGAGAAATCTCTGTTCAGATCTTTTGCCCATTTTTTAATTGGGTTGTTGGTTTTTTGTTGTTGAGATGTACGAGTTCTTTGTATATTTTGGATATTAACCCCTTATCTGATATATGGTTTGCAAATATCTTCTCCCAATTGTTAGATTGTCTGTTCGTTTTGTTGATGGTTTCCTTTGCTGTGCAGAAGCTTTTTAGTTTGATGTAGTCCCATTTGTTCATTTTTTCTTTTGTTTCCTTTGTCTGGTCAGACATGGTACTTGAAAATATGCTGCTAAGAGCAATGTCAAAGAGTGTACTGCCTATGTTTTCTTCTAGAAGTGTCATGGTTTCAGGTCTTACATTCAAATATTTAATCCATTTTGAGTTGATTTTTGTGCATGGTGTAAGACAATGGTCTACTTCATTCTTTTGCATGTGGCTGTCCAGTTTTCCCAAAACCATTTATTGAAGAGACTCTCCTTTCTCCATTGTATGCTGTTGGCTCCCTTGTTGAATATTAGCTGTCCATAGATGTGTGGGTTTATTTCTGAGCTCTCCATTCTGATCCATTGGTCTATGTGTCTGTTTTTGTATCAGTACCATGCTGTTTTGGTTACTATGGCTTTGTAGTATGTTTTGAAATCAGGGAGTGTCGTACCTCCAGCTTTGTTCCTTTTCTTCAGGATTCCTTTGGTTATTAGGGGTCAGAGCTAATGCTTCTAATAGAGTCCTGTAATGACTATTTTGATTTCTTTTATGGGTGCTTACTTTCCCTTACTTTGAAATCTTCACTGAATAAACACTGTGATAATTAGTTTCCGGCAATTCATGCCTTCCCCACTAGACAGAACAATTTGGTTGATTCTCTCTCCCTCTACCTCAAACACAATGTCAATATTTCAGTCAGACGATGAAAAAAATATTTTTAAAAATACAAACATATATCTTGTCAATGAAAATAATCCATAACCAACCTATAAATCAAAATTGGGATGAGTTTATTATGAGCCAGATCTGAAAGCTAGCCTGGGGCCTGCCTTCCCTAAGGAAGGAAGGGCACCCAAGAAGTGGGTGCACAGAGTGGTTCTATACCATCTTGGAGCAAAGAGGATACATCAGATATGACAGGAATGCTGACACTGATAATAAAGGCACTTTGGGGAGGCTTACTAAGTGTGAGGCACTGCACTCAGCACCACAGGTGGACTGGCTCATTCCTTTTCACCTGCACAGACTTCTAACAGGGAAGCAGCAGCATGATCCTATTTGATAAGAGAGGAAAGTGAGACTTAGGGGAGCTGAGTGACGGGTGTGACTTTACACAGGCAGTCAGGAGGGGGCTCGATTCATCACCAGGCTGCCTGACTCAGACCAAGCTTTGCCACCCAGCACACTTCACCTCTTATTATGAAATTAGGACAAATGGTTCATTGATAGGGATGGACTCCTTTGTGTGAATCATAAACAACTTTGTTCTTCCCCACTAGTCTTATAAAAATCCCCACTGTGGAATAGATTGCCCGTGCCCTTGGTTGAAATCTGGAGATGGTGCCACAGTAATTTAAATCACTTTTTCGTGCCAGAATCCCTTGGTCACTCTCAGGCACAATGACCGTCAGGCCAGCTTGGTACTCAAGGCTTGATAAGTGGTGCATAGGTCCGTACCTGGGATCTGAACCAGAGAACCCCAGGCCTCCCAACATTCAGGCCGCCAAAGCAGAATGTGTGAACTTAACCTCTGTGCCACTGGGCCAGCCCCAGGCTGGATGCTTTCTCCCAAACATGAGGAAAAGACAAGAATATCTGCTCTTGCCACTTCTATCTGACAATGTACTGGAGATTTTAGCTAGAACACTTTTGCAAGGAAAGGAAATACAATGCATTCAGATTGGATAGGAAGATGTAAAAACTATCTTCACTTGCATATGACTTATCTTTTTTTTTTAAAGATTTAAATTTTTCCTTTTGCTCCCCAAGGCCTCCCGGTACATAGTTGTATATTTTCAGTTGTGGGTCCCTCTAGTTGTGGCATGTGGGATGCCACCTCAGCATGGCTTGATGAGCAGGGGGCATGTCTGTGCCCAGCATCTGAACTGGTGAAACTCTGGGCTGCCGAAGCAGAGCCGGCAAACTTAACCACTTGGTCACAGGGCTGGCCCCATATATGACTTATCTTGTGTATAAAAATCTCTAAGGAATCCACTTAAAAATCTGTTAAAACTGATAATTGAGTACAGCACATTTGTATGATACAAGATCAGTATATAAAAATAAATTGCATTTTACATACTGTAATAAACAATCTGATAATGAAATTAACCAAAGAAATCTATTTACAATAGCATCAAAAAGAATAAAATATGAATAAATTTAATAAAAGAAGTAGAAAATAAATACTCTGAAAACAGCAAAACAGCATCAAAAATTAATAAAGATCTATAAGGATGAAATAACTAATGTTGGCAAGGATGTGGAGAAAAGGGAACCCTTGTGTACTGTCAGTGGGAATGTAAATTGGTGCAGCCACTATGGAAAAGAATATGAAGGCTCATCAAAAAATTAAAATAGACCTACCATGTGATTCAGCAATTCTACTTCTGTGTATTTATCCAAAGAAAGCAAAACTGCTAACCCAAAAAGACATATGTTCACTGCATGTGCCCCATGTTCACTGCACCTTTAGTTACAATAGCCAAGATATGGAAACAACCTAAGTGTCCCTTGATGGATAAATGAACAAAGAAATTGTGGTATACGTGTACAACGGAATATTATTCAGTCAAAAAAGGAAGGAAATCTTGCCATTTGTGACAACACGAATGCACCTCAAATGCACACTAACTGAAATGTCAGCCAGAGAAAGACAAACATTGTATGATCTCTTTTATATGTGGAGTCTAAAATAACCCAAAAACCAAACAAACAAAAAAGCCACCAAACTCAGGGATACAGAGAACAGACTTGTAGTTGCCAGAGGTGGTGAGAGGGTTGGAGAAATAGTTGAAGGGGGTCAAAAGGTAAAATGACAGAAGAAAAAAAAGAAAAGAAGTTGTACCGAAAAAAAAATGCATGCTTATGATAATCACATAGTGACACAGAAAAATGATTACATACTTTCATATATTTAAAATTTACAAACTATGCCTCACCGCTATTGGATGGTCATTACTGAATGTGGGTACATGCAAAGGGATGTCAGTTACAGAACTGCAAGCATTCTGAGGTGTGTGGAGAAACATCCTCTTCTAGCCACATTTTCCCTGAAATTAATTTCTAGTAGTAATAACCATTAAACTTTTTTTTATTGCCCAAAATTTGATTTGCATCTTTGGAGATTAAAATTAACGGGGCCAGCCCCGTGGCCGAGAGGTTAAGTTCGCGCGCTCCACTTCGGTGGCCCAGGGTTTCGCCAGTTCGGATCCTGGTCATGAACATGGCACCAGTTCTCGGGCCATGCTGAGGCGGCGTCCCACATAGCACAACCAGAGGCACTCACAACTAGAATATATAACTATGTATTGGAGGACTTTGGGGAGAAAAAGCACGGAAAAAAAAAAAAAGATTGGCAACGGTTGTTAGCTCAGGTGCCAATCTTTAGAAAAAAGTAAAGGGATGAGGTTGGGAGGGGATTTGGCTATTTGGACACTGGCGATCTTTAATAAAGATGAGTGAAGGCCTTGGAGTGATGCCATCCCTTTTCTTGCTCTTTATTTCTCCCTAACCAATCGAGGCAAGAAAAAAAAGAGCGAACCCTAAAAAAAACTACTGAAGATCTAAATAATAGGAAGAATATCCCATGTCCATGGATCAGAGAATATAATACTGTTGAGATGGCAATACTTCTCCGAATGATCTAGATTTTCAACACAATCCCTATCAGAATCTTAGTTGACTTCTTTATAGAAATTGGCAATAATTTCTTGATAAAGGCAAAAGAACTTGGATAATATGAACTTCATTGAAATTAATCACTTTTGTGCTTCAAAGGACACCATCAAGAAAGTGAACCCACCCATGGGAACCCCTGTGCACTTCTGGTGGGAATGCAAAATCATGCTGCCATTGTGGAAAACTGTATGACAGTTTTTCAAAAATCACAGAGCGGGTTCATGTGACCCAACAATTCCACTTTTGAGTATATACCCCAAAGATTCAAAACATGGACTCAAACAGATACTTGTACACCTGTATTTATCGGAGCATTATTCATAGTAGCTAAAAAGTGGAAGCAACCTAAGTGTCCATCACGGATGAATGAGTAAACAGAGGGTGGTATACACATAGAACTGAATCTTATTCAGCTTTAAAAAGAAATGAAATTCTGACACATGCTATAACATGGGTGAACCTTGAGGACGTTATGCTAGATGTAACAAGCCAGTCAAAGAAAGACAAAAACTGTATGATCCTACTAATATGAGATACCTAGAGTAGTTGAATTCATACAGACAGCAGAATGGTGGTTGGGGGCTCCGGGGCAAGGGCAACGTGGAGCTGTTCTTTAACATGTACAGAGTTGCAGTTTTGCAGGACGAAGAGTTCTGGAGATTGGTTTCACAATGTCAGTGTACTTCACACTATGAACTATGCACTTAAATATGGACAAGATGTAACTTATATGGAATAAATATCGTAGGTGGTCAAAAGTTACACACTTCCTCTTATAAAATAAATACATCATGGGGATGTAATATACAGGATGGTGACTAGAGTTAACTACTACTAAATTGTATATTAAAATTTGCTGAGAGTAGGTCTTAAAAGTTCTCAAAAAAAAACTATAGCAATGTGTGGTGACGGATGCTAACCAGACTTATTGTGGTACGCCTATATTAAACGAATATAATGTTGCATGTCAATTATATCTCAATTTAAAAAAAAATGAATGCAGTATTGATACATGCTACAACATGGAATTTCTTGAAAAAGTTATACCATGAATGAAGTCAAACACAAAGACCACATGTTAGATAATTCCATTCATATGAAAGTCAACAAGTACGGAAATGTATACGGACAGACAATAGATTAGTGGTTGTCCGGGGCTGGCACTTGGAGGAGCTAGATGGGAAGATAGGGCAGTAGTAGGTTAAGGGTAGAGGGGTTTCTTTTTAGGTGATCGAAATGTTCTGAAATTCACTGTGATAATTGCATGTATCTGTGAATATACCGAAGACCAGTGAGTTGTAGACGTTAAAGGGCTCCACTGTATGGTATGTGTATTGCATCTTCAAAAAAATTGTTTAAAGTGGATAATTCATTAAGAGTATTGCAATGCAAATGAGTTGCAATCCAATCTCTTAAGCATATGACTACCTTCCAGGTACATCCCACATTTACATACCCTTTTCTTGTTTTTTGTTGTATCAGTCCAAATAGGAATTGAATTACCTTAGGGATATTATAGCTTTTACATTTCATAGTTCTTTCAGGATACATTAAAAAAAGGGTCTAAAATAAATTTCCCTCCAGGGTAAAATGTACACCTGAGAATTGAATGAACACACCTCAGATCTTGTGGTTAGACTGAGAAAAGTCCTTGAGCCCAGCTAGGGCTGCGGGCTCCAACTTGCCAGCAGAGCTAAGGGCTTGGGAGGCCGTAGGATTCGTTAAAGTCTGATATGGGGGGGGGGGGGGGGGGGGAAGCGCTGGGTGGAAGACTCAAGACTGTCAACCGTCAGAGATCAAAGTAGAACCAGACTAATTGTTGATATGGTGAAGTGACTTTTTAGTATCTGTGTTTGCAAAGGGTCACAGGTCCTGGAGTGGTCTCGCAACATTGCATTTCAATGGAAAAGTCCCCAGAGAGAACAAGGTCCAGCTCCCAGTCAGCTCTGACACAGGATCTCCGTCCCGCTGTCACTCAGGAGCGAGCGGGCGGTGCCTTTTGAATTGTCCAATCAGGGTCGGTTCCCGGGCAGGTGGGCGGGTCAACGCTCCACATCGCTTCCGACTTCCTGTCGCTCCACAGTCCTTCCGATGGCGGCTCGCCTGTTCTCAAAGGCCCCATCTTGCCCCGCTGCGGACTCCGTCGTGCCGTGACCTGTACCGAGTCGTAGGAAGGACTCGGGGGACTCAGGAAACTCAGCAATGGTGAGAGTTCAGCCACGGGCGGAGGACACGGAGGAGTGGCTGGTGGGAAGCGGAGGGGCGGGCACGGCCTCCTGCTGTCCCTTCCAGGGTCAGCAGCCCAAGTCCGCGGCGGCGCCGCTCGGCCCTCAGGCCCCTCCGGCCACAGCGTGGGGGCGGGGCCGGCAGCCGGGTCCCGGGCATCCTGTGGTCCCTGCGCGCGGCGATTTGGGCCGGAGCGTCTCTGGGCCGCTGTGCGGGGCCCGGGGGAGGGCCCGCAGAACAGTCGGGCCTCGGGCTCCGGGGTCCGTGCGCGGAGGGGCTGCGGTCGGTGGGGCCCCAGGGCCTCCTTTCTCCTCAGGGGGGACCTATTTTCTCCTGAGTTTTCTAAGTGTTTGGGGAGCAGGGTCTCCAATCCGCGACCCTGTCCCCCCAGCTCTTCCAGGACTGACAGTAAATCCCTCAATTTCCAGATCCCTCCTCACGTTCCCGAACGCCAGTTTCCGGTCCCCGGTTCACAGCATCGTCATCAAGCACAAACAGACCCAGTATTTTAGTTGTTTATCACTTTTCCGTAGTCAGTGGGCGGCTCTTTTAAGAGGGTTTATTCCTCGTTGGTGGACGTTTTTCTTGAGAGAAAGTAGCGCATCCCCCTGGAGGCGCGTGGTGCGAGCTCCTCCCGCCTCTCCTCCAGGCTGCGACATGGGCGCGGACGTGCAGCTGGCAGTCCTTTGCTGCAGGTTCCTCTTGAGAAACTTTTCCGGGCGATCTGTCCTGTCAGCACCGCCCCTCCCTGGGGTTGTCATCCTGAAAAGATGGGTTCACTTAAATTTGGTCTTAGTTTTTCAATGAATAAAAGTTTACTTAATCAATACAGCTTGAAAAACAATATAAAATAGCTCCAAAGAGGGAGAAAAAGGTAAATTTTGGAAAAAATAAAATATTTCAGTTTTTCATTGCATGATTTAAAAACTTCTTTTCTCCCCTGAGCATGAGAGTAACATTCTGAGGTCTGTTCTTTTATTTTGGGTGAGTTCAAATGGATTTCCACAGTTTAGACTTGCGGACCTGAAGTGTTCAAGTAGGATTAATAGTTGAAAAAAGAATTTTTTGTCATGGACAAAATAGTTATTTAACATCTTTTTTTCTCCAGAATGCAATACATTCTTGTGGGGTTTCCTGTTGAGCCAGCAAAGTGCCATACAATTTTCTTCCCTCATTTCCACATTAAGACTGGTGTGAGTGTTTTAGCTGGACTGTTCAAACACTGGATTTGTGTATTTAAAATATCAGTGATGGTCCAGAAAAACTCCAGTGGGGGCAGAGCCTGAGGGCAGTGAGTCTAAGCTGAGGCCCCCTTGGGCCTGCAGAGGGAAGGCCTTGAAGGCCCAGTTGTCCTTCCTGGGGAGCCTCCCCTGCAGGTGTCCTACTGCTCACACCCCATGGAAGGAGCCTTTATCCTGAGAGGAGCTGCAGAGCCCTGGAAAGCTGGGTGTGCACGTGCTCCTGGGGTGGGGAGTGACACCCTTTCTGAGGTTATCCCTGTGGTTCCCTTGGGCCTGTTTCTAGACATAATTGGAGTTTTGCATCCACAGTGTAGGTGCACTCAGAGAGTAACTCGTTTACACTGAGAAAGTCTGTGAGAGTCAGGAGCTCTGTGTCCTGGATTAGGGCCCATTCATCTGGGGTCCATTTGGGTCAGAACCTTAAACTGGATCCAGCTGAGTTTCCTCACTGTGAGAATGGAGCCTGAGAGAGGGAGCATGTGCACTGTTCCCTGGGGAGAGGAGGGTGTGTGGGGCTCCCAGAGCTCCTTCCTGTGGCTGCTCAGGTGCCCTCCCCTCCTTCTCCAGGGACTGACCCCCTCCAGGGCTCTGTCTCCACCAGGAGAGTCAGGAACACGGGACCTTCTGACCGTGGCTTTCCTTCTGTCCTGTGGGAAGCAGGCTGCTCCTCTGAGCTGATTCCAGTGTTCGTGTTCCTTTCCTTTGGATTCCTTTCTCGATGGACTAGTGCAGCCCTTTGGCTCTAGTTTCCCTTAGCACTCGGGCCATGAAACTGTAAGTTGATGGAGAGATAGGAGGTGAGCAAAGCAAGAAAATTTTGGAAACAAATAGAATTTTTGTTCCATTTAGGCAAGAGAAACTCAAGATGTGAGTGAATGTTTTGAAGTTCTCAGGTGCATATTTCATTTTTAGACCAATTTTTGTGTGTGCTTGTCCCTTGAGAAGATAGAAATTTAAAAAGCTAAAGCAGTTGAATTCCTGTTTTAATTAATGTGAGGGAGAATACTGAAAGCTTATGTAAATCTTTGAAAATCCAATACATTTAAGAGGCTAAAGTCAAATCCCTATTGCATTATAATATGCTGCTTATTCTGAAAACACCCCAGTGTGAGATACAGGGGAAGGACATACTGGGATGCCACATGTCCTTGTAGTTAGATATTGGAAAATTTTCATTTTGAATGCTTTATACTTTGTCCTTGTAGTGAGCAGTCAGACTCCACATGTTGGGTGACTGCTCACAGCTTAAGCCTCACCCACCCTCTTCCCCTTGTGCCCCCACCTGGACAAGCTGAGGAGAAGCCTGGGTGCTCTCTCCTCTAGAGCAGGCAGGAGATTCCCACCACCCCAGCCCCTGCCTGTGTGCAGAGCTCTTGCCCCGGCCCCACCCCCAGGCCCAGTGAAGCCCCAGGCCAGGCTCCATTCCTTGCTTTCTGAGCCCTGTCAGAGCTGCTTGAGAGGCCGGCCCTGCCCTCCTCTCAGACCTCTATGATGTGAGTCCTAAGCCTTTTCCTCCCCTCTGTGTGTGTGTTAGTGTGTGTGTATGTGCACTTGCGCGCACACAGTCTCAGCATCAGTGTCAACAAGGAGCCACCCCTCTGCAGGTGACCACGACAGTTGGTGCCCTGAGCAGCATGTCCAGACGTGACCCCACCCCCGTGGGTCTGTCTTCTCTTGCTCTGACTTGCTCCCCGTCTCTGCTGCCTGGTGGCGGCATGCACTGTGGGCTGCTGCTCGCTGGGGAGCTCGTGCTGTGAGCTGTGCTGCCCTGTGTTGCATTGTTGACCCACCAACCTCAGTTCTAGGTTCAGCTGAGCAGAGTTGGCAGTTTCGAGAATTTATGTGCCTTTGTGAGCAGGACTATGGGATTGGGGCCTCCTTGAATGAGTCCTGTTCCAGTGTCTTTGCTGGAATTCCTCTGTGTGTTAGGGTGAAGTTGTGACAGAGGCTGGGTTGGCCCCAACATACTCCAGGGATGGAAGTGACACAGGGTGACCATACCCTGTGCAAGAAGAGGACCCATCACTGGTCACTCCTGAAACAGCTGTCATTTAAAAAGAGAAAGAGAAGAGAGGGGAAGGGAAGCCGGTAGATGGAGGCTGGAGTCCACACTCCTAATGCCAGAGGGCCCACCAGGACTCTCAACTACCTCAGCTGCTGCTCCTGTCCCTGCCTCTACTGTGACAAAGATCCTTCCCCTAGGGTTCTAGGGGACAACACCTATGGCACCCCTGTGGCACAGCAAAGGGATTAGTTCAAACCTGACTTAAGTCCAGGGACCTTAAACTCACTAAAGGACCCAGTTGTCATGAGGGAAGCTCCTAAGCCTGATGGCACTGTTTTGAGGCTCTTGGGTAGAAAAAATATGTAAATACCAGGGTAGACAGGACACTCCTTCCCCCAGTGACCAAGAAAACAAAACAGGGAAGGAACAAAAGAAAAAAGTACTGAAGGAAAGGTCCACAGTTTGCCCCAATTGGAAATCCAGATATACTGCAAGAATTTACATAACAAAACAGATAGAGGTACACTGCTTGAGTTTTGGGCCTCTGCAACATAGTTCTGAATTAATTTTGCGCTCTGATGTAATGCACTAATGCAGAAACCTTCATGCAGATAATCAATACTAGATGTCAAATTGCATTTACACCTGGGATCCGACTAAATTTAAGGAAGGTGCCCCTGATGATCTTAGGGGTGTTAATGAATATACTACAGAGGACAAATGGGACAAATGTTTGATCTTTAGCCATTAGAACTATGGTCTTGCCTAAATTCTCCATGGTCATAACACCCGTTGTCCTAAAATATCCCATAGTGAGCTGGGAAGCCCTGATCCAATGAGCAAGAATTAAAATTAAACGAAGTCTCTGCCACTTACAAATTGACTTGACAAATTGGGACCCAGGGACCTTACCTGCCAAATAAAGTAGTTAACATGGCCGAATGTAAGTTACACAGGGCCTTGAAAGATTGAAAACTGTATAGAAAACCTAGTTAGTGAGGGGTTGATTATTCCCAGTGTTGCTTTTAACAGCCTAATTTGTCCTGTTATTAAACCTGGAAGGAATGACTGACACCTCGGAGTGGTTCACCTCAACTCGAAGCTGTGTTTGCACCACACAGACCTCTATACCCAGTCCCCACAGTGTGGAAATTACTGACCAGAACCAATCAGCAATTGATAAATAGCCTGCTCTCACAGGTTTGGCTAAGTCTGTTCTGTCCAGTCCTGTGTCCACAGCCTCTCAGCTGCACTTGGCCTTCCCCTCTGAAGGGACGTGATGCCCCTTTACTGGGTTGTCCTCATGGATCTTCCACAGCTGTGCCCTCCCACAGTCATTGCAGGCAGGGTCTGAATTGCATCCTGGTGTGTCCAAGAACACAGGTATGATGTTACATTATTGACATCTCCTCTGAGGGCATTCAGGACAAATATTGAAAAAAGGAGTTCACAAAAACTGGATGGGACATTGCCACACATATAATGTGAGGCCCTGACAACTTTGTTAAACTTCTGGAAATTATTTGATAAGCTGAGACCTCCTTCTCTGACACCATGAAGAAATAGTTATTGTTCCTTTCAACACACACAACATCTAGTTGGTTCTTTTGATGTTTGGGAGGGAATATGTTCATTGTTTACAAGTTGTACTGGAGCCCATTTGTGTTGTTACTTGTAAATTTGCCACCTTGAATGGGCACCCCCAGTACCAAAGGCTGGAGACTCAAATTGTC